CTTACCCATGCCAACTGTCAAACCATTAAACTGTTATACTGTCATAACTGTCAAACCACCTCTGTCTCTATAAATAAGCAGAGGTGTTCCTCAATAAATGGGCTTTTTCTCTGATGATGAGCCTTGTTTGTTCTTTTAGGTTTCCCTGTGGATAAAGGCCACTAGTTAACATACATGGTCACCACAATTGAAAGGTAAAGTTAAAGTGAACTACTTGTGATAAATGGTGCTACCAAGTCCAATTAGTCTTACTTTAGACTGATTATTATCAATTTGAAAGCTATGATATAAATGGTTATATTGCCTAATAAAATGATAGTTCTATCTTTTCTCTAGTCTCTGAGTGGACCTTCCTAAGATGAGCATCACATTCTCACTTAATACTTATTTATAAATACATATTTTCTTTTTCTACTAACATTGTGTAGAGTTTCCAGGTTGGAAGATTTTGCTTTTCTTGTATTTACTCAATGATGTAAATGAGGGAGAGACACGCTTAGTTTTACGTACTATAGTTATCTTTCTTTTTAGTGATCTAAGAATAGATTTTATATTTCAAAGTGAGTAAAAAGGTTGATTTTAAATATTCTCACAAAGAATAAGTATATGAAGTACTTTATTAGTTTGACCTTAAACAACATCAAAATACCACATTTTACCCCATAAATATGTACTATTACTATTTGTGTATTAAAAATTTTAAAAAAGTGTTGAGTTCTAGAGGGAAAATGATCCCTCTGACTGTAAAAGAGAAAATGGATTCTAGAAATGGAATAGTTGTTTCTCCTGACTAATGAAGAGTTCAGGTGAGAAATGACAGGTGCTTAGAATAAGGCTGGTGTGGTAGGAAGAGATGTGCGTATGTTCAAAACTTCATGTGTAGGGTCAGGAGGATCTGGGGATGAGTTAGATAATTGGAGGACAGGCATTATGATAACTACTGAGTTACTGGATAATAAAGTCATAATAGACACACAAGGAGCAGGGGTTAGAGAAGACTGTGTGCTGAATTGAAAAATTCCAAGAATGGATTAGAAAATGACTGGAAAAAAATTAAAAATGATAAAGTGGTCATTAGATCATTTATTTTATATTTTATTTTGGTTACTAAAATAGCATTCTAATTCCCAGTCCCCTCTCTCAATTATAAATTGCCACCCAAACAGCTCTATTTTAGTTTGATACCTCAAAACATACAAAACTGAGTGCCCAATTAAAAAGTATCTTCTTGGGCTG